GCAGCATTGAGCAGCCGAGTTTGGACAGCCGAGTCACTGTAGCCAGGCTTCTTGGTGCTCCTGTTTTTGGTTGGGCTTCCCAGACAAAAAAGAACAAACAAGAATGGAAGTGGGGGTTGATCGATATTCCTCGACCATAGGTAACTTGTCCCATTTAGCAGAAAACACAATCTTCGTGGTTGCCCCCCAATGGTCATCTCATGTAAAGGGCCTTTTGATCAACCCCCAAGTGAAATCATGTCGGAAAAATCAGCATTTGCCAAGTTGCCCCTGCAGGAGAACTTTATTTTCCACCAGAAATGATGGTGCAGATATGAGGAACTGAGTCAAAATTAAACCACCGGGGGACCGCAGATTTTAGTTTTTGTTTCTATTCACGAGGGTTCCATTTGGGGTACCTATTTTTGACCCACACCCATATGAGGAAATGGGAGGGATCCTGTCCACCGAGCCATGTTTGCCACAGTTGGTTTCTTTCTCTGTTGCAGGAAGGGCCCGATCGCTTGCAAGGATTGGCGCCACCAGCCACTTGCTGGGCCACATCATCAAAAACTGCAAGACAGAGGCGCGTTTGTTTTCTCCCGGGGGGACGGATGGAGGGGCCAAATCACAATCGAAATGCGCGAGTGGGCAGTTCCAACCAAAAACCGGTGCGGAAACGCGTAGGTTTCGTGTTTGCATCATTTCGCAGGTGTTGATGGTGACTTTAGTCGCCGGTGTTGGGACAAAGAAGCCTTTGGGCCTTTAGGGTTCGGGAGCGAAAGCCCCTTCATTGTTCCCCCTGTAGCCTCCCCAAAAGCAAACATGGAACCTGCACAGGGGTCCCCTTACAAGGAAATGTTTTTTGTTTTGTTTTCGGAACCCCTGCGACTTTGCTCATGTGGGCAAAGGTCCCAAGTTCTCGGTCGCTGGGGTGAAACCAAACAAGGCAGTCAACAGGCCGAACACATGCCTGAGCCCTGTTCAGTAACATCCTTCCATTTATTTGGCTCTCAAACGCAAAAAAGGATCTACGGTTGTGTGTTGATATCGCAGGGAGCCTCGACCTGTATTGCGATCTCCGATATCGCGGGTGAAACGTTCTCAAGCCGAGAGGTTGTCTATATAAGTTGCTAGTGACCTTCCCACCTGTGCTGGTCTGTTGTTTTGGTATTTGTGGGAGGGGCAGTGGCGAAAATTGCTTGCAAGATGTGGCAAAGGAAGCCCATTCAAAGAGTTGCCAGTGGAGAACGGGCCCACTTGCCAACTTCCTCAGTTTGGTCTTCAGCCACGATTTCACCGAAACGTGGCGAGCCCGTTGTCCCCCACGGCGACATATCTCGACATTCCCCTTTTGGGGAACCCTCTATGGCAGGCGTCCATTTCAACTTTGGCAGCCGGATCCACGGAACACCGACCTTCGAGGGAAGATCCTCTTGGTACTTGAGAGGAAGGTCTATGACTTGGCTATTCCGCTGTTGCCACAAGTTTTGTGTGACTTGTTGCCCATGAAGGTCCTGCAACCCACCTAAACCTCCGACTTCGCAAAGTTCCTTGGCTGTCGACGCAGGGGAGCTTTGACCGTATGGCCATTTCGGAAAACCACCAAAAAGATGGCGACTGTCCCACATGGGGCAAGTTGCCAATGGTCAAAACTGGGGGCCGAAGAACAAAGCTACTAGTACCGACTGGCGTAGTTCAAATCGGTTGGGGCCGACGCCTCAAGGGTTTGGAACGCCTACAATTGATCTGCAACGCCCGTCTGGCAATCCAAAACCCTCTTTGTGCGTCGATCCAGAAAGCGATTCTTCATCTCCAGAGCATTTGGCAGTGTCTTTGGTCTGAGTGTAGGCTTGTGGTTTCAAAGGAAGCACTTGTGTGGGGGTTCCCCCACTTGGGGTTTAGTCAAGCGGTTTGTTCGGTATCTCTTTCGGGACATCCCGAAACTGCTCACCAGGTCAACCACCTTACCGCGGCTACATGGCTTGTGTCAAGAGGGGCCCGTAAAGCGATGTCCGTGTTGGTTTCCCTTGACCAGCCAGTCGGAAGTTCCCCCAAAAAGAGGTAGCCACCCGCGCAGGCCACATGCAGAAGTCCTTGCGCGGGCTTACGCATCACCGTTTGGAATTTGGAATTTGGAAAAAGACAACATGTCAAGTCTGGGTGAGACTTAAAGGGGACATACCAGGAACCCTGTCCCCGGCTGCTAAAAAGGGGCACCACATTGTGACAAGTTGCTAGGAAATGGTAGCACCGCTTGTGCTGTGGCGAAGCTAGGATATTATGCGGCAGGAAACAAACAGTCAGCGCATCGCACACAAAGCATATTGCGCATACTCTCGCGCGTGAAAGTCGTTGCGTTTGGTTGCGGCTACGTGTTTTTCGTGCAATACGCACACGAAATGCATCCGGTAGGGTCGTTGCAACTCGGCGTGCCAGTTGCGTTGGGTTCAGCATGTTTTCAAGAGACAGTTGCTGCCGTGATATAGAGGTCGTTTTTGGTAGAGAAATACATGCTGAACGTGGTCCCCTGAGATGTTTTTTTCTTTTATGTTGAGGTTTTTTGGGTAGGCCGAGCGCATCGGCACACATGGAAAACACCTTCCCTCAACAGCACCCTGCAGCAGCACCCTGCGCAACTCTGAGTCTCGGCGCCCTGCAACAGCACTGCAGCAGCACTCTGCAACGGCACCCTGCGCAACTCTTTTTGCAGCAGGCCCCCTGCAACAGCATCATGACTGAAGCACCTTTTTAGGCTAAGGCTTAGGTTTTCTTTTTGGACTTGTTTTAGGCTCTCAATTTGTTTTTCTTTGTTTCTTTCAGCTCTTTAGCTGCTAATGATTTGCGATGTGCCATTGTAATTTGCCTGCTGATTGGCGCATATAGTCAAACAACATCTAGGTCCCAGCTGGCATGTGATGTGCCTTGGGGATTGCCTTCTTATTCGTACTTAGATATGTATGCTTGACATGCGTTTAGGTGCCTTGCAATATGCAAGCGCCACGCAGAGTGCGTCCGTGGCGGCACTCAAACAAAGCAGTTCTAGGAGACACCTTTGCGCAGTGTGCCAGTGTTGAAGGCTCAGTTGCAAGGACCCTGCCGGGACCCTCGTTGCGTTGTTTTTATTGGCAGGCTGCGGGCTTTCAGAAAAATGACGAAAATGAAAGGATGTTGTCATTTATGGGAGTAACACTTATGACAAGGCTGAACTCTAGTCACAGTTGCCGCGCAGATGCTGAACATTATCTTAGTAGATGGCTACTGGACCCACTAATCGGACCTTTTGCGGACATTTGGTGCTGGTTCAAACATGTCTAAGGCGCTGGTAGATGTCCCACGTGTTCAACTCAAGGCTTGCGCAAAACGAAGCGCTTGTTGTGCACCTTAGGCAACGAGCGTGGTTTGTCGTAGAGTTCTCATCCATGTATCATGTATGAGGTTCAATGTCCTTTCGCCATCATTTTTGTTCTTACATAGTTGTTAAAGTAGGGTACCACGAGCATCCGCGTTGGGTTGAGCCTTTGGGTTCCCCGGCTCTCCTGTTTTGTGACATAGTTGTTAAAGTAGGGTACCATCATTCAAGTTCCGCCTTCAGGTGCCCAATCACCGGTCCCTCGCCCCAATTGATTCGGTTGGTCTGGAGACGGGCCAGGTTCCGGAAGCCATCGACGTGCAGATTGAGAATGGGGAGGCCCTCTTGGCTCAAAGCGAGTCGATCGGATCTGAGCTTTTGGCGTCTTTTTTTTAGGCAATAATTTGTAGTCATAGCCTCAAAAGGTAAACCTTTTATTTCCAGGTGCTTCGGACAAGTGAGATGGGGAGCGCGGACAACTTGGTTTGCAACGGTAAGACTCGGTTCCGAGATGGGACGCGTTTGCATGCCAAACCATCGTGCATTTACTGGTGCGTCAACTGGTTCATTTTCATCCTCGAGCTGTATGAAGCCTTGGGCCTTGGGCTGCGCACATTTGTCACTTGCAGCTAGTGGAGTTTTCGTCCTGTGACCGATGTTTGGCAATGCCAATTTTCACGTCGCATTTTGTGGTCCTACGGCTTGCCTTGAGGAGTCTCGCGGTATCCCAAGGATGCCCGTCCGTGGTCGGTGGCTGGAGCAAATCCGGTTGTCTGCAAGAGGGCCACGCCGTTTTTCTGGGGCTTCCTTTTTTTTCTCCGAGGACTCTGCGGAGAAGAGGACGGATCTCAAGAGCACGGCCGTTTGGCATGCAGTTTGGGGCCAGTTTGGGTTGAACATGCATAGATCCCACTGCTATCAGTGCAATTCTCCACCGCCACAAAGGAGATCCGAACATGACGAAGGTTCCCGTGACCTCGCCTGGTTACCCAAAAAGAACTCCAATACAGTTTGGGAGGTCTCATGTTCAATGGTCCTGCATCGTTTTTGTGGCAACATTGGCATTCAAATATTGGGGCTGTGTAACATAGGGGGGGGACAAAAACATGTTTGCTTCCTATTGGTTCTCTGAGAGCTTTGAAAAGAGGGTCACCAATGTTGCGGGATAAGAGGGTTAAGAGCAGGGTACATGGCGCCAGGTGCACCGCAAGAGGGGTGTTGGGGCGGATTTGGCGTGGTTTTCCCACGCCATCCGCTGGGCGCTCGTTCTTTGGGACCGAGGATGTCGTTGTGGTCGCCAAGAGTGGTGGTGTTCCTGGTGTGAGACAGGGTGCTTTTATGGGGCAGCAATTTGGTTTCCTGTTTCTCTTTCCAAGCAAGGGACACCCAATGGAGCACCTGAGTTGGACGGTGACACGGGTTTGGATGTAAGCATCTGGAAGGCAAGCTGGTTTAATGAAAACAAGGCAAAAGAGGGTATCCCAAAGTTTTGGGACATGTCGGGACGCAACACCTCTTTCTAGGGGCTCCTTTCCCATTCTTTCCAGGGATCCTTCTTTCCAGAAAACCTCCGGAATCCCAGGGAAACGGCTGGTTTTTGAAAAGAACGATGATTGCTTGACAATGACTATCATGATCAGGATTCGGAAAAGAAGGAAGACCATGAACCATGAGCGTGGCGGTCAAGCAATCCATCCCTGGTCCCCTTCAACATAAAGTGATACCAACACGATGTTGCTATCAATAATACTAAGGCTTGGACAAAACTCCCTGTGGGTCATGACCAACTTCAACATGCAGGTACGGGTCATGCCCAACATGACGTTTAACATGACGAATAGCATGAAGCCAATATGACTCTTTTGGATGTTCCCGCGAAACAGTGGACCTTTGGCCCGCCGCTTTCTTTCGCATCATCCACGCGAATACGCCCTATCAGCGCGCATTAGGAGGGTGAATCTGGGCGTGTATTTGGGATCTGGGCGTGTGTATTCATTTCACCCATTTGGAGCATCAAACTGGCCAGGTCTCAGTTGCCCAGTTTTTCGCCCTTTTTTCCTCTTGAACAAACAAAAATGATGCCGATCCTTTTCTTCCCATGGCCACTGGACATCTGAGATGTGTGCCGGAGCTCTCAGGTCTCGGATTGGCGAGTGGCCTTCCCTGTGCTCTTCGGAGACCCATGGCCGAAAATCCCCGCGCCTTCTTGTGGGCAGTGCCAGGGCAACTTTTGCATGAGTTTTTGGTGGTACTCTTTTGATTTGGTTCTGAATTGACCTTTTCACCCTTTCGTTCACGTTCACTTTTTGTGGCAGGTTTGCCTTGTCTTTTTCTGGGTCCCTGGGCGAACGAGATCCTACTGTGAACGGACGAAATCATGCACCACTTAATAAACCCTGGAGCGATCATTCTCCTGTAAATACCAACAAACAATGGTTTTTCATGGTGTCAGTGGTGCAGGATTTCGTCCATCCACAGCATGATTTGACACATACCCTGCTTGCTTCCCCATGTGGACTTCAGAAGTTTTGGGCGACCGTGTGGCGAAAATTCAATCGGGGCCAGCGCCCGACCGAGATTCAAGCAGGATTGTTGTTCTTTGATTTGGCCCTCTCTTACCCAGGCAATCAGTGGCGTCCTTGTCTTTGTTTTGAGACGTTTTCCCCTCAAAACTGACTACAACAGCAAAAGCGCCCTTGGTTTTCCCCAGGGCAGGACTTGGTAGGCTCATGAACCCTTTGGGAATTTAGGAGGGCTTGCTATGGAAGTGACCACCCATATGTCAAACACCCCGCAGGTGGGGGGCAACTTCAGTGGCTAGACCCCTCGCTCATCCGTTGGCGAGGGGGAGGGCGGATCCAACTGTTTTCCAGTTGGCAGATCGTAGCTTGTGTGGGTCTGTCTTTTGATGGGGATTTGTTTTTGCAGCGAAATGGAGATCGGGGGTCTAAAGCCTCTTGGGGTTCCAAAGGGAATCTAAGAGTACCGGCGCTCATTTTCAGCAGACCCATCTCATGACACGCCACAACTCGTCGTTTAGTTGTTGGGGTGGACTTTGAGGAGAGAAACTCATCTTGAGCTGGGATTCAGCCAGAATCCTGGAACATCCTTTTGGGCTGCGCCACAATTGAGTTGAATCCTTGGGACGGTGCTGAACGCGGACATGCAAATAAGCCCCAGGCCCCACACATACTCATCCACGGGGTGTGCTGTGCTCACGTTTCGCTTCCCGGTTACTCGCATATTTGGGGGTGTCTTGAGATCGATCACAAAGGGTGTACAGTTTTTGCTTCGGCCATTCAAGCACTTTTGTTGGCACTTAGGTGGCATCATATCTGTTCGGGCACAAACCGTCATGACCAACAACCAAATGGTCACAGCCATAGCAAGACAAGATCCGTTCCATGTTTAAAGACTCAGTGTTCTGACCCATCGCAAAGTCTCCCAGACCAGTGGTGTGCCCGTTGCCTCTGTTTTTGGCCATGTGGAACTCGGAACACCCAGCTAAAAACAGGAACACCCTTTGTTTCACAGGTCCAGGAACAACTAAAGTCCATCTTCAGGTAACAACGCCCCCTCTGGACTCCACCCGTTTTTTTCGTGTCGCCCCATAAACCCCACCGCATTAGTGAGGATTTCTTCCACAACCTGGCGGACGGCATGGTGATCGGCACCGCCTTCTTCGCTTGCGACGCCTCCTTCGCCGCTCGTTTTTTTTGTTTGTTTTCTTTCTCCGGGGGGACGAGAAGGCGACACGGTTTGGACCATCGTCGTGGGTGTGGGCAAAAGACACCTTGGGTGAACAGGGATTGTCATCCACGGAGAATGGATCCTAATTAATAAACTGATCATAATGGATCCACTGGGTAAGAATGGATCCTAATTAGCTGATGGTTGCTAAACATGACCCAATTGACCATAGTTCAAAGCCCGGCAGTGAAGCTCCCATGTCTGAGGCTTTGGGACGAAAACGGTTGGCAGCAACTTGAGCTGAGGAGCTACTGGAGTTCGACATAGGTTGGCCCCGTTTTTCACCATTCAATCCGCTGTGATTCAAACTCAAGCTCGGTTTGCGTTCCTTTTTGTACGTCTTGGGGCTTTAGAGCTTGTTGCTTGAACGGATTTTGCCTTTTATGTACAGCAGGTATACACTATAAGGGCCTAAAGAGGGTGTGGAGAATGCCAAGAAACCGAAATGAAGTCATATGGTCAGTTATAGCCGTCTTTCGCCTTGAAAAGCTTCAAGTCTTCAAACTAGGTCCTTGTATAATTTGAGGGTTCACTGCTCACGTTGGTTTACGGAGAAGCCAACAGCTTCCCTACACAAACCCACTCACATATCACGAGTTGTTTTGCTAAATTTCGCTGCGTGGTTTACTCCCGCTCGACTGGTTTTCAGTGTTTGTTTTGTGTCTTATGGTTGATTGTCCAAGTATTGGATTTTCGAAGAGACCATTTTTAAGGTGACCAACACAAGTTCTTTGCCTTTTCTGGACCAACCACATCTCTGAAAGTGAGAAGGAGGGGAAACAGACAACCCCATTTGTCCTTCTTCTTTTTTTGGGGGGGAGTGCTTGCGCCTGGCAAGCTGTAGGGCCTTGAACCCTGCCGCGCACGAGCGGAGCTTTGAGGATCAGTTTGGATCAATCACCACCTGGTTTCCCCCCCCCCCCCAAACCAAATAGGCTGACTTTGTTTGGTGCTTCAGCAGAAAGGCATGTGGTTGCACAAAAACGGAAGCCAGCCCAAACCGTTTTTTCCACTTGGTGTTTTAGAGAAACTCTATTTGTAGTGCGCCAGTGGTCCAAGCCAAAATCCGAGAAATGTTCTAGGGGTTGAGTTCCCATTGTTTTCAACCATCGTTCTTTCCAAGCACCGGTTCTGTTTTCCCTGGGTTTCCGGAGGTTTTCTAGAAAGATTCGGATCCCTGGAAAGAATGGAATTGGAAGCTACCCAGAAATATGGCCGTGGGTCAAAAATAGGGTGACCCCAAAATGGGTTGCCCTTTTTTAATGGAAACCTGGACTCAAACCTGCGGTTTTCTGGTTTGATTTTGACCCAGGCCATGTGTTGGCAGTAGGTCGGTCGGTCCAAGCGAGTCTTTGGGGCAGCGAGGCCTGGAAGATCGTGGGCGTGAGCATCCTCCACGAGGTTCCGCAGGAGCTGGCGGACATCTTCGTGATGATCAACAAGGCGAAGCCGAAGACGGGCCTTTTCCATGGTCGTTGGTGGTTGAAACATGTTTCCCATTTTTGATCTTAGTGTAGTTTAATGTCCACATGGTTGTTGTTGGTTGAAACATTTTACATTTTTCCCATTTTTGAGCTTATTGTGGTTTAGTGGTTGAAATCCCCACTTAACTGCTAAAATTTTAATTTGTGACCCCCCTTCCAACGCCAACCAAGTCCATTTCTTTGGCGCATTTTGCCAAGGGATGTTAGGACTTTAGCTTTTTGCCAACTAATGGGTTTTCCATTAAACCACTAGGTTTTCCATTTGCCTTTGAGAGTCTAAGAATATGGCTGTTGTCAAAACCGTTTTGGTACCATTCTGGGGTAGGTGAATTCACCACCCAAATTTTAGGACCTATTTTAGTGGGGATTGGGATGTTCACTGCGGGTACGATTTGGGTTTTGACCCATGGCCATATTGGTGAAGGCCATTTGAGTCCAATACCCAGTTGCGTGGATTCCGCCCTTGTTTGCCGTTGTTTTTTTGGGGGGAAGGGTTTCTCTTTTAAACTCAAGCCTTTCCAAAAAAGGATGCCGATCCTTTCTTTCCCATGGCTGGGGCATCTGAGATGTTGAAAACAGTACAAAGCAATCGTGTAAATAAATAAATCCTCTGTTGGTTTGTCTGGGAATCTATCGCTCGAAATAGATTGTTTTTGTTTTTCCAGGAGAGTTAAATCAATGGAAGTGGGCGTGTCTTTATCGAGTACGGGAGCCACCCACGTCAACCAGATTCCTCTATTTTCCGATAAACCCACACGGAACCTTGAGACATTTTGGGGTTTCGACAACAAGTTTCTACTCATACCAACCCCAAAGTGATAAAGTGTGCGAGTTGGGCCGAACATTTCATTTCAGGGTTGCTTGGGTCTCCTTAAAGCACGTATTTTTATATGTAGGGTAACTGTGACTAAATATGAAGCATAATCTGAAGTTCTAAAGAACAGTTTTTCTCTGTGCTCTTTTTGATCTTTGCGGAGGATGGTTGTATCCGATGGGCTTGCCCATGCGTTCCCTTTGGATTCCCTCACGTTGTCGATCGTGTTTTTCGTGCTTTTTGGGGTCGGAATGAAGCGAGATCTCGGACCATTTCAGTAGTACGATATATCTTCCATGTGCTGCTGCAATGACTATGCTGTATTTTCCTGAATCGTTTTGGAGGGACACTATCTCTACTCGAAATAAGTTGGATGGTAAAACTTAGTGGTAACCATACCGAAGGGTAGCCTATACTATAGTGGCGAAACGCCTGGAAGCACAGGGAACCACTTTACTTTGTGATAACAACCTCCTTTTGTTTCCGGGTGGTGGATTTTGTATGTTTTTTTTTTGGTGGGCAACAAGTTTGTGACTTCGCCGTGTTTCTACGGTGAACTTGTGAACTTTGCTGCACTTTTCCGGGGATTGGAAGCTTTTGCAAGGCTTCCATGCCCCTCTTCGCCGCAGTTTCTACGGGAGGTAGGCCGCAGTTTCTACCCATGTGGGGGCATCGAGCAACTGGTGGCATGGGCTTGGAAAATGATACTTGCCCCAGCCACGATTCGACCTGAAATCACCCTTTAGGTCTCCCCTTTGAGGGGGTCCCATTTTGAGTGGCAAAAGGTGATCACCTTTTTCCAGAACCTGGCAGAGGATATGGTTGAGAGTTCAAAGTGAGTGGCGAACAAGAAGTTTCAACTTGACTTCCTGAATGAAACTCCCTCTCGTGCAGTTTTTACAGGCGCCACTGTCGATATCCATTTTGTCCCGAAATGACATGGTATTTGGGCGCGCAACCCCCTTGTTTAAAGCAAATGACCACACATGTTGACTGCTCACATTTGCTTCCGGACGCTGTTTACCAGGTTTTGAGCGATGGTTTCCTGGTTGCTAAAGTGGTTTGCATGAGGATCTGGTTACTATCTGGGGCAAAACATGGTTTAAACACCACCTTAGGGAAGAATCAGAAAATAACCAGTGGTTTTTCAGTATGTTTAAACCAATGGGTGGCCCCCTGGTTATGCCATTTCAACTGCTTGCCACTTGCCACCCGAAACCGCTCGCGAAACCGCTCGCTTAGGCCGGCTTTAGCTGGCAGAAGGCCACTTTGCGACTGGGACGCGATCAGCGAATCTCGAGTCCGGGGGAAAGAGAAAAACAAATCGGGGAGGACCCCACCGGGCCCCGTGTTTTGCAGAACGCCCAAAAAGAAACGATGAAACCTAGGTGTTTTGCAGATGGAACACACGAAACAAACATCCTTGGTCAGATGTTTCGCCCTGAGAGCTGATGTTTGGACAGTGGGGGTTTTGGACGGACAACAAGCAGCTGCGGAGGGGGGCGTGTAGAGGAAATGGACCTTTAAAGGGGTTGCATGTAAATTGCGGGAGTCGTTTTGTGGTAGGTGGGGGTTGATAAACAGGTCCTTCACATGGGATGGCCATTGGCGGAAAGCACTGAAAAGATGATATGTGCCATTCAAGGGGAAAACTTACTTCTGGTCATTTAGGAGCCACGAATATTCATGAACCCCCATGTGTTTGACTTTAATGTCAAGTACCTGAAAAGAAGCCTTTCTCCCATGGCCACTGGGTCTGACTTGCGTGAAGCAACCTCCTAGTCTCCGTTTTATGGTGCCAGGGCCTTGAAACAAATGTTGCAACCAGCCCGGGCGCTCAAACGCCGGGTTGCCATGGACCTCCAAGCTCCAAGATCCTCGAAGGTCCGCAGAGTCTCGATCCATGACCCTAAAAAAATGGGGTCATTACCTCAAATAATGGGGTCATGGACCTATTTGTAAAAGGGTCATGGAGACTCCAGGTCCAAGTTTACTTCAGACACGGAGGCTGAACAGGTTTGCAAGAGCTGGAGGCTGGCAGTGGCAGCTGTTCACTGTGGTTGCTCGCCCATCCTGAACTTGAGATCCATGCAAGGCTGACCTGGTCATTTCGTTGCCTGAAATTCGCTGAAAGAATTCGATCTGAATTTCGACCTACCTAGAGACTCCATGACCCTTTAAGAATGGGGTCATTGCCCTAAATGGGGTCATGGACCTATAACCTTTAAAGGTCATGGAGACTCCAGGTAGACAAAATATGGTTTTTGCGACCGACATCCCATTGCTTCGTCAGAGGTGCAACGTCCTGAGCGGACTGGGCTCGCTGCTCGGGGCAGTGATTGCCTACAGCGTCCGGGTGGGTGTGGAGTTGCAGGGCGCGATCCTCGCAGTAGGCGAGACGGGGCAAAGAGAGACCCGGACCTCCCCCCTTTTTTTTTTTGTCGCAGTGTGTCTACACTGAGGGGTTCTTAGTGTTTTTTTTTGCTTTTGGGGGGGGGGGGAGGGGGTTGGTCCCAATGGATTTGTGCAATGTTAATCATTGCACAGGGGGTTCACTGAACAGAAGGGGTGGGGGCGGGGGTGCTTTGGTTCATACTGGGGGTCAGTTTTGCGATTTTGGGGTTTGGTCAAGGTTTGGGTTTTGCAAGTCAGACTAAGTGTTCTTGCACGAGCACGGGGAACTGGTGATTTGTTTTTCGTCACCCGCTGGTTGGTCGGAGTGAAGTAGGGGGAGATCTCCTCTTAATTCGTGGGGGAATATATGACAGAATGTTGATGTTCCACTCCTTTCGGAATTCCCCAAATTACCATCATTACCAATACGCTTGTTTGTGTAAGATCGTTCTAGTGTGCCCCACTGTGTTCAACCATTGTTCGAAAATCAACTGTGTCCGTTGTTAGATGTTGAAAAGAAGGTTCGGAACAAAAGAGGAAGCTACCCCCCTATTTCCGCTGTTGAGTTAGCATTCGGCGTTTCATCGATATTGTCCAAGTGCACACCACCATGGCAAAAAGTAGGGTACTCACAAACAAGCAACTCCGTGGAAGCATTTACGTTTATACCCGCATGCTTCCTGAAAGCATCGCAAAGGGTTCTTCCGTGCAGCCCTTGGACCAACTTGCTTGCGCAGAGCACAGCCACTTGCACAGGGTCACAAATTTCAAAGCTACTTGAGCAACTTGCACAGCGCCATTTGCGCTGAGGCGAGTAGTTTGGGAATAGTCAGGGCATAGTCTGCGCACGATAGTCTGGGCATGAGAAGTGTGAGTATAGTTTGGGTCAGTGTGAAGAGTCTGGGTCAAGAGCTTGGGTGGTGTGAAAGGTTGGGTACCTTAGGTCGGGCTCACAGAGAGCCAGCAGCTACCTGTACAGCCCATTGTTGCCGAAAAAATGTGTATCGAACAAAAAGTGGCCGAGCTGTGACAAAATGCTCGAGCATTCAAATTCTGCTCGGAACACAAATTCCGACTCGTCATTTGAAGCCCAGCCTTTGAAGTTCAATAGGAAACGCACTGAAGCAAAAGTTCTGTGGTGCAGAACAGCAAATCAGGCGCATGTCCGGGCGGCAAGTTGCTGCATTTTTCCAGGTTGCGCGCGGCTGCGCCCGGGTTTCGCCCGAAATGCGCCCGAGATGCGCGCAGCTCATGCTTTGATATTGCACTACGACATGACAAGTGCCCACTGACAGTAGCCCAACCCTAGCAGTCAGCTTCATCAAGTTCCAGCAGGTGCATACCAAAAAAGCGCTCAAACATAAACAAGTGCTCGTTTTTCCAAGAAGTGCCCGTGATGGTCCGTGGGCACATTTTTCTGTATCAAAGGGCTCTCCAGGTATGTAAGGTAAGTTTCTAGAGAGAAGATGCTTAGCGCGCGAGAGAGCGCGGATTCCCGCACTCCGGCTGGAAAACGGATAATCATAAGTCTGTTTCGCTAAAAATCTGACAGAGCGGCAATGTGCGCTGAGCTATCGGCGTCGGCAGAGACCAACTTTCATAGGGTCATTGCACAGGAAACTTGCGCAGAGCAACTTGTACAGAGCACTTGCGACGATAGGGGATGAAAAGCAAAAGGGGAGCCTTCAAAATCGCGGTTTGCGATTTAGTGTCCCTCTAACCCAACCCAAACAAGGGTAGCCGGGATGGCTGGGAGCCACCAAGTTTCCCCATTATTTTCAACCATCGTTCTTTTTAAAAACTAGCTGTTTTCTCTGGGCCTCTGGAGGTTTTCTAGAAACAAGGATCCGAGGAAAGAATGGGAAAGGTACCCCTAGAGTTAGGGGTAAGTTGACTCAGGAGAAGGTGCGCTAACAACCAAAAGCAAAGGCGCTTTGAAGCCAGATTCAAAGAAAGGGAGCCAAAAGGAAAGCCTGCCAAGTCAAGTCGCAACGTGTCGGACCCTAGTCAGGTACCCCCCCTAGAAGTAACCCCGCGTCTTAAAATGGCGCACCCTTCTTGGCTGGCTTTAAAAAGGGCCAACCTGATGGTGAGACCCTTTTACACGTGGAAACCCACGGGCCGAGGCCAAAAAAAATGCTTTTTCAAAGGCACAAAGCCACATGTTTATTTTTCAGTATTGGGGAATGCCCAAATTCTTTTGTGTAACAAAACCAGCATTCAAGTAAACAACTAAGCTTCGCAGTTGTTGGCAAGTTTTTTTTGCTCGCTCTGTGTTTTTTTTAGCAGGCTGTCCTTCCAATTCTCTGCTGAGAACCGGCAAGAACATGCTTCTCCTGCAGGTGCGATAAGTAGGAATTGACCCAGGGTTCGGGTATTGGGAATGAGCCAGTTAGGGGGGATCCCCGAATAAAGGAAATCAAAGCGGGGGTGGTTTAGTTCGGGTATTCCAACTAATTCCCTGGTGAGAACCAGCAAGTTTTGGGCGACAGTGGACTTGTCAAGAATCGGCGCAATCATGCCCAATGTACCTTCCAACCCGTTGGTAGCATTATAAACCACTCAACTGGTGGTTTCCTTTTTTCAGAGACCCTTCAGCCTCGGTTCCTTCCATTTCACATGCCCTAGGTCCCCCAGTAGTGCCCTTTTACCCTTTTTTGGGTGGAAGGTTCCCCTACTAAAATAGATAAAACCGAAAAAAACATCGGGTACCAACTTATTCTAAGCTTTTCTACTGGAGGACCTAGTTCCCCATCTATCGCACTTCAAGCATGTTTTTCGGTTTTTTAGTTTTTTGGTTCTCATTTTTACTGGGGGTCTGCAAAAAACAGGTAGTTTTTTGCAAATCCATACCAAGAGTAGAGATGGAGTCAGGCGCCGGGGTTTTTCTCTTCGTGGCCTGCACGGAGCTGGGCCCCGCCGTGTCCGCCTCCCGGAAGAACTCCGCGCGGCCCGTCCTCAGCGCCCTGGTCACGCGCCTCGGCGAAAAGCGGGGGGACCCGGGCCGCGGGACGCGGCCGGAGGTCGGAGGTCGGACGCGGCCGGAGCGAGCTCCGTCTCGGGCTTTTTGCTTTTTGGGGTAATCTTAACCCCGGATCTAAGTAGAACCCCTGGTTGATTAATAGGGGAGTGTCCCCTTTTAGTGGGGATTCATCATTAATAATGGGACGGGTTCATTAATCCTGGGTCAACATTATTGGGCATCGTTTTAGCGGCAAAGAACAAGTTTGATTTTTGGATTGGCCAGTCCAGTCAGGAAACCGGGGTGACAGTAGATGAGTGTTCTTCAAGTGGGCTGCTTTTTGGATGGTTTCAAGGACAAGCTACAAGGAAGCCAAGCGCCTGAGTGCGTTGGTACCTAGTTTTGAGAAACACCGAAATGGCACAGTTTCCTTTATTTAGGGGAAACAAAGATGATTTCTAAGTCCGAATGGGTTGGAATTGTGGCCACTTTCACCCACCTGTAAACCTGAACTTGCTACAAAAAGGGCAGGTCACGCTTCAACCAAACAGGCAGATTCTAGCGGGGTCATGCTTTTGTTTGCTTTAGGTTGGCAAAGTCTTGTGACATGAAAAATAGCAGGGCCAGTAAGGGTCGAGGCCAACCATTCTCTTCAATCGTCTCTGTTCAAACCCATTGTAGCGGGGATTGGCTCAGTTTGAGATGAATCCCTGAAAATGGAGAAGGTACATCTAAAGGGATCCTTAATTGGGCATCCAAATTGGCTGCATTCGAAGAATCTCTCGCAAAACCGCCACTTCGTGGCTGATTTTCAGGATGTCACTTGAATCGACCCAGAAATAGCATCTATGCTTCCTGATTTTCCCTAATGGGGAAACAACAGGGGAATTAGGTGCTTAATTTTCCTTCCTGCCCGCCCCGCCGCCCCCCCGCCCCAAGGGTTCTTGGAGCTTCTTAAGTCCTTTCAGAGGCAACCGACAACTTTTGACTCCTTGTTTATGCCAATCCACAGAGAAAGTGAGGTGAACAGTTTTCTTGGGGGGTTACCCTTGGTTGTTTCAAAGGCCAACAAGGAAGTGCCGGTGCCATGTTCTTCCTCAACCATTTCCCAACAGTGGTCATGTGACCATGGGTAAAGAGGTCTGTCTCAAAGTTCAACTTGTTTTGGCAGTTTTGTCCTTTATCGGGAAGCCAACGGACACCGACGAGGCATTGGTCCTCAAGTTTGAGAAAAGAGCAGTGGGATTAATGGGCTTCTGAGTCAAGCTATTTGCAGCTTGAACCCGCAAAATGCAGAAGTGTTTCGCAACCTAACCTCGGATAGTGCCCGCTTTTTTCCCACCAGCTCTTTACCAAAGAAATCAATATGATAGACGTCCAAGAAGCCGGATAACTGAAGGTCCATGTTGCTCATGGCTCCATTTTGCCCAGCCAACCTGTGTGAGCAACCGATCAGACTATGGACCACCCAGCATCTCTCGGGACTGGATGAAATTGGGCCACAACTTCTAGGAGAGTAGTGTGACATGTGAAGGATTCTTCGAAACTGAATGAGCAGGATGGAAGCCTTGGCAAATCGGAGCCTAGTGCCCTGGTACCCTCCAGCGCTTCTTGGGGTGGGGTTTTGGTGTCCATTGGCAAAGCATCAACCAAAGAAGCGGGTGTTCCCAAAAGAATCCGTTGGCCAAGTCAAAGCCCAGATCCTCTCACCACTTAGAGGCCGTCCACTTGGCACATGTGAAAAGGCCCCTTTAAACGAGCTGATTCTTTGGGGCAACAAAAGGGGTTGATTATAAGGGACACCACCAAACAAGATAATTCCCACGTGGAAAAAGTTACCCATGGTCATTCTGGGGGTCGAACAGAATATTGAACAACCCCCAAGTTTTGACACTGGCACCGCAAGCCTTGTGCTTCCGACGTAGGTCCTCGCTGGCCAAACCGCGCCGATCTCTGGGCTACCCTCCTACGCATTACCATGGCACCTGACAGGGGGTCCTGAAAGACAATTTTCGGTGTTAAAGTGAATTGGTGGGAGGGTACGTCCGTTTACAAGGATACCGATGGATGGGCCTACAGTGCCCTCTAGTTGTATACCCTTTCAAGCCTGACCCAACACACAATGGACAACGGTCACCTTCGCGGGTGGCAACGGATATCCCTTGCGACGAAAGTACAGGACTCACATAGTTGTCTTCACTATTTGCAGCGAGCTCAACTTAAGGCGAGCTCATCTACAAAGGGGCGAGATGAAAGTTATGATTTATGACTTGCCGAAGATCGAACCTCACGCTCGGCGCTTTGAAACGGCCAAAGGGTTTCAACCGGCCTCGTCTGCGCTGGGATTTGGATCCACTGGATAATCCAACAAACACTATGCCTAAAAATACGTGAGAAGGCGGTGCGACCTCCAGCACATTAGCTGTGGATCAAAGCCGTTTTGGGATCCCATCTTGGTTGGTAGGTGAGTTCACCACCCGGTGTAGAACCTATTTTAGTGGTTGGATTGGGATGTTCGCTGGGGGTACGATTGGGATTTTGGCCCATGGCCATATGTGCGTCATGATGTTGTGTGTGTGTGTGTGTGTGTTGAGGGTATCCTTTTCACGTAGGTTTTTTGAGAGAAGCATTTGGATTTGCAGGCTGGTGATCTTCGTGATTGCCGCGGGCCTCATTGGCCTGGTGCTTCTGGATCACGAGCACTGCACGCAGTCGGTGCAGGCGAGCTGGAAACATGAATCCCTTACCCGGAGTCTCCATGACCCATTAAACATAGGTCCATGACGTTCTCTTTCGGACAACATTTTGGGGACGACCATCTTGGTTGTAAAAAAAAGAGACACAAGTTTGGACTTTTTCTGACCAATCTACTCAGGAAGCAAGACTATGGATCCATTTGCCTAATAATATGTGTTCTTACCTTTAAGGATGTCACTTTAGTGTATCAATGAAATGTGAATGGGAAATTACCGCACAACTCTGAGTTAATGGTCCCAGACTTGCGTGTGTATTAGACTGGTACACTGCCCCATGTTCCTTTTCGGCGTGGCAACGGCCAAACCTTCTGAGCTACTGCTATTGTTTGCCCCTGTTTTGTCCCTGTTTCTTGGAGAAACGTGTCCCTTCAGCTACTACCAAGTCAACGGAGACCTCTTTTGCCACTCCGCAGCCCAAGGACTATGGCTAATTTTTTGGAAACCGCCCACTAGGGCCGTGGTAGCATGTCGATCAGGCAAAACAGGTCACGCCCGGAGCTTCTTGGGCCCCAGAAGTCGACAACAAAAAAGAGTCATAGGAGTAGAAGATCCCACTCATCGGGGAAGTCGTCTTCTTTTTGTCTTTTTTTTTTTTTTTGGGGGGGTGGGGGTGGGGATTCTTCTGATTGGTGGCGGATTAGGAATTGGTGCATGCGACTTCTGGAGTTAGGGAGACCTCCATCTTTAGGTTTCCAAGCGCGGACGGGCTAGGAAGTGATCGGGTGCATCTGGCGGGCGTGAAGAGCGGACGGTGCCCACGGGCGCCGGCGAAACATCCGGACGGTTCCCATCTGGGAAAAAGAGCCAAAGGAGTGTGGAAGAGCCAAAGGAGGGTGCCTGAGCAATAGTGGTTTAAACATGCCCTGTGGATTCCAGTTTTCACTGTAGGTAGGTAGTTTTATTTTTTGGTTTTACAGGGCAGTGCCTTTAGTTACTGGTGGGAAATGGAATCATTAGGATGTTTGAAGAAGGGGCAACTCATGTTGGCAATACCCACAATCAACCAAACCAAGCCCTTAGGCTCAGGGCCGCTCTTTGAACAAGCAATTGCCCTTGCCTACCCTACCCCGACAAAGAAACCCTAACTCAACCAAATGGGTGGCTCGTCTTTTTTTGGGCAATCCCTTGTTGGTTGGTTTTCAAGGGGAACTCAAAGTAATCCTACCATTGTTTTGGGTTGCCTATTTTCAGACTAACCCAAATCCTACATTCACTACCCCAATGACCAAACCGCTTCAGGCTTTTAAACGTTGAGGATATGTCATATCCCGTCAGTTCGTGTTTTTTGTTTGGTGTGATCAACGAACACTTGGCGAGTCCGTGGGCAAGCATGTGTAATAGTTAAAGTCGGATTTTCGGAACTCAGACCCCCCCACCCCCAGAATGTTGTATCTATGAGTACAGTGTTAGCATGACTTGCTCAGCCGTCTGGGGAAAACGTACCCTCCCACAAACATAGAAGCACAGGGTTTCCTGGATGCCATTTTCCTTGACCGGTTCCTGTGCAGGTTCTATTGTGTTGTCCGGGTTTTGTTGACCGCCGGAGGCGCCTTCTGCGGAGACTGGCAGCGGTGAGACTGATCCCCATGCGGGCCATGCGCATTAAGCGCGAGGCGGGCCGGTTGCTTGCGCCGTTTTTTTTGCAGGGGGGAAGTGAGTGGCGGATGACTCCAGGGTTGCGGAAGGAAGTGAAATAAATCCAGCCACTTCTGTGGTACAAGTTGGAACCCCCTCTTGCTATAGGGGGGGTAGTCTTTGGGAGGCCCTTGTGGTTGTATCACAGGAGTGGGCATTTCCCACAACCCTGTTTCTGACTGGGACCATTAGTTTGACAGTTCCTGGGGGTTATCAAAGTCAGAAAACGGGCTGGTTAACCCAAGGCTTACTTTCCGAGCCCTGAAGCAAACTTTTGAGCGACAAATTTTGCGGACAAACCAAACATTTTCAATGGCTTGGCTCGACGGTTTCGGTCCAGGAGAGGCATGAAACCAAAGCGCACCCCTAGCGCGGCTTGGAAGGGTGGAAGGGTTTGCCTTTCCTGTTGCCTGCGATGCCTTCATGGGACGGATTCGCAACTTTTGTTTTTGCAATGGAGTCAGATGTTCCTGCCTGAGCTTAGAATTGGACGTGCATCCAGTTTGTAAGTACCGCAGCCAACCGGTCTGCGACACCCCCACCTCACCAACGGCTTTTGGGGGTGGCGTTGCTTCCTGTCTTGCATCTGCCGTCATTCGCTTTAGTTCTTAGACAATTTCCACTACCTGCGTTGCCAGAACCGGTGCCCAAGGGAAACTAGTTGGTATATACCTTCCTTATTGTGGAGGCATGGCGATTGCCGAGTCAAGTCCCAGCGTTTCTCCCCTGACGGCCCTGACGGTAGCTTTTGGCTTGTTCTTCATAAATGACTCGCTTGGCTTCAAAGGTAAGCCCTAATCCTGGCTGTCCAATCGCAATCCTTAGTCCTGAATTTGCGACGACTGGTACGGTACAGTTCAACTCAACCATACGGATCTCCGCCCTTTGATTTGTGTTTTTACAAGGGGGGGGGGAACTTAGATCCGCGCTTTGATTATTGTTGTTGTTTGTTTTCCTCGCTTTGATTTGTTTTTTGCTTTGCGACTTGAGTATGGTGTTTTCGGCGTGACTCTACCAAAGGGTAGGTGAAGCTTTCCTAGCTCAGGCCGCTTTGTGCGCTTTTTGTTCCTTTGTTCAAGGGGGGTCCCTTGGAATGTTCCATCAAAGGAGGTGCCCGAGTTTTCCTGGAAATTCAAAGGTCTAAGCCCTAAGTGTGCTGACCCAAGCCTTTTGCAAGGGAACATAGGTTCAGTGCACCAAGAAGAGGGGGCTCCTTTGTCTCCCAGTCAAATCGGCAAGGACTGAGCTTTAGACTCGCGAGTTGATCGAAGCGGATGTTTAGTTCGTACACAAGGGCGAACTGCCAAAAAGCGATGAAGCCCCTCTAGACGTGGAAGGGCGATGAAGCTTAAGTCAGGTTGCAAACTCGAGGGTTCCAGAATTTTGTAAAACCTGCAAATGCCCAGGTTGCGCAGATTCTGAGACCCGTACAGACTTGAGAACTGATAGAGCGGGGTCGAGGCTGTATGCCAGGGGCCTCTCATGTGCCTTTTGTGCCTTTCGGCGACTCTAAGCAACATGTGGTGTCCAATCTGGCTGTGGTTGTCAACACCAATGGTGCCAGTTTGGGGTAGGTGAATTCACCACCCGTTTTAGAACCTATTTTAGTGGGGATTGGGATGTTCACTGGGGGTGCGGGCTTTTGCCCCATGGCCATTTCAACTCGGGCTCTTTTTTGGGGTTGCGTTTCAAGAGGTTCGGCGAACAAATATGGAGTGCAGAGGTCGTTTCGGCTTGATTGCGCTCATTGTTAGTGGCGGCTCCGACATGCCAATGTGAGTTGTGACTTTGACTCCTGGGCCAAGTGCAAGGTGAGAAACAAACAGGGTTAAATCCACATTTAACATGAACCCACTCAAGAAGTCCTTTGGTTGTTGAATGAAAGATGGAGACCGACCCTTCCAGAACATTATTATGTGTGCAGATGAGTGGTTCCCCAATATGGTTTGCTTCCTTTCTTCTTTTTCTCGCCGTCCAACAAGGTGCAGTCTCAGCAATCCGAAAACGACAAGATCATTTGAACCAGACCCAACACGTCTTCAAGTTCGTACCTTGGATGTCATAATTCTCCGCAAACGGAGGATGGTCCAAAATAGTGAGATGTTTGAAATGGAAGTTTCCTTTTTTGTTTGAATGTAAATCAAAACAAAAGAGGGGGTCGCGTCGGATTTGCACATGTTGCTTCGGAGCAAGCCCAAGTCCTGACACAAATGGAGCCAGAAGTCTTCCCAACTTTGATTTCCTGAAGGTTGCAAGCAAGTCAATGACAAGCCATGGTCAAGTTTTTGATGGTCTTGTTCTTGCCTGTCTTTACATCTGAGTGTCCCGTTGGTACCGCGGTGATTCTGTGCCTTGACCCCCGGATTTTGGTTTTTCCTTTCTTGGCCAACGTGCCTTGCCCGTGCACGGCGGCCTATCTTCACCTTCGAAGGAGGTGACTCGGAGGGGTGGTTTTCAGCGCGGCCAACTGCCGCTCGTGGCTGCGACCTGCAATCAATCCGTGAGGTCGTCTAAGGCCAGCCAACCTAGACTCACTTCCCGAGTTCATGAACTTTAAACTTTTTGGGAAGACCATTTTAGTGGTACAGAAAAAGTTTGGACTTTGTTTGGGCCATCCACTCAGCCAGTGAGTAGAGTCTCCTTCTGACCCTTTAGAAGTGGTTGGTCATTCCCCTAGGTAGTTTTTGGTCATGGACCTATTTTTCAAAGGGTCAGAAGGAGACCTCCAGCCAACACAAAAACATGCCACGGAATTGTGAAGGCCGCAACCGCCAGTTTCTGCATGGCTCCTTGCTGGGCTTGGTGGCACCAAAGGCCAACGAATGCATTCATTTGATCAAAGGGTTGGGTTACAGACAATTCTACAGCAAAACGTCTTATTTAGGGTGTTTTGGGGCCATTTTCTGTGGATTTTCCTGCAACCAAACCCTTTGATTTGAGCATGGCAAGTACTTCCACTAAGTTGGTGTAAGCATACATGTTGGATACGATGGCAAAGATGGTATTCTGGAGATCTAATTATGTAATGCAACCCAGACCTAACTCCAGAGATTTGTCCAACTACTTCAACAGACGTCTTGCGTGCACCCATTTGCTTGTGTCATGCTGCCTTCTTTGGGTTGGCTTGAGCTTTGGAGACCGTTTGTCAGTTTGTCATTGTTGAGACTCTATTGAATTGGAAGTCCTGTATGGGAGCTTGCTTGAAATTTGGCAACCCTTTTACCTTTTTTTGGGGTTGGTATTGAAGGGAAGCACAAGAACAACTAAGCCGCTTGGCATTTTGGGGGACCGATTCCTATTTTGAGCTACCCCCCTATTGATCTGGACCACCCTCGTTTCGATTTTTGGGTTGGCACATCTCGAACTTCACTTTTTGTTGCATACTTTTGAGTTGTTCATTTGTTGGGTTCTGTTCATTTTTGGTAGATGGCTGCAACAAACACAGTTTTGGCTCACATGACTCATATGCCAAGGAATGAACAGTGAATGTGTGTGTGTGTGTGTGGTGTTGTTGTTTTTTAAGGGTACCCTTTTCAGGTCAGTGTAAAGGACGATCACCAGTCTTGGGGTTCCAAACAACTCCTTTTTTGACGCATAGCCTTTGTGAGTCTGCAATCACCTAGTGAGTATTTCTCCTTAACCTGCAACAACTTGAGAATTTGTCTGGCATATAGCATCCCAGGTGGTTGGTGGATCGAACATGCTTCATTCCGGGCTCATGAGACACAACGTCATGAGGCCCAGTGAGGTTGAAGATGATGCAGTGACCCCCAGGTTGTTTGTTCCTGGTTTCAAACATCACCTTTGCATGGTTGTTGTTGGGAAGCATTTTGCTTATTGTGGTTCAGTGGTTGAAATCGCCACAAAGCCGCCATTTAAAAAAAATAAATGTTTTACTTTTTGCTCCCCTTCCAAATTCAACGGAGTTTGTCCTTCTGTGAAAGGCCTTCGGCGCGAGTTTCCACTGATTGAAGATGGAAAGTACCAGGCCTTCGGTGTTTTCGAGCTTCGAGCTTGAGGCTTTGGCAGGTCTCCCTGGGATGTGCCCTGCTCTTTTTTTCTCCTTCTGTGTTTTGCACCTGTTTTGGGCTTCTCAGGGTCCGGTGACTCAGAGAAGATGACGTGGATTGGGCCCAAAGTCTTTGGACTTTACTTGCTGGTTCGATAGGCAGGGAGTTGGAACGACACCTATAACCAATCGCATATGGTTTCCTTTAAGGGAAATCCCCTTTTTGTGCGTTCCCAACACGTGGACCCGGTTATTCACTACCCATGACACCAGCAAGTTCATCACTGAGTTGTTGTTGTTTGTTTTTGTTCTCCAGGAGACTTAAGCCAAATGCTCGGAAGAGCACATCCCAGGGCCTAGAGACCACGAGGGATGATCCGGACTGGGGCGAAGTTCCAAGACAACGCCCGACTTGTCTGTGCGTCAGATTGGATGCCATCATGTGTACGAGCATGCGCTTATCTTCAATGGAAAGGAACGGACCAAGTGGGTGTTTGTTTCTTTAGGAGACCCCCCAAACAAATGTTTGTGGTTTCCCGTTTGGCTTCCCTTTAAAAGCAACCAAGTGGGGGGGTTCAAAAAAAAAACTGGATCCCCGCTGTGCCACCGCTTGATTCCATCCACAGCCCTCGCAGGCGGTTTTTGTCACCGGAAATGGCTGGCTCCTTTCTTTGGTGCCCAAAAGTTTTCCTTTCAGGTTCCTCTTAACACCCACCAAACAACGTTGTCCCCTACAAACAGACAGGCATGAGCAAGGGTCAACATTGATCACGTAGGTTGAGGGCATCGGACGCACATACACACAAAAGGGGGGAGGGTTCCCCAAAATCCAAGGTCATGTGATACGGTTGCTCTTTGACCATTGGACTATATCAAACGATTCCTCCAGCGAACCGTCTTTGGCCCAAAGGCCTTTGGAGCCATACGGATATGGCTCAAAATTAAACGATCGGAGGGGCAAA